ATTTAGCAGTAAGGCATTCCCTGGGAGATATCCACTCTCTGACTTCACCACCTTAACCAAGCTTCACAATCATCATTGCTGTGTACAGTATTAAATTGTTTGTTTAAAATTTATACTGTGTGTGTATATATAATATAGTCTTTTGTCTGGTGAAAAAAATTTCCCTGGAACCGAACCCCCACCTAGTTACATTAATTTTTATGCGGAAATTGGATTCACTTAATATCATTTCACTTGAAGTCGCATTTTTCAGGAATATAACTACAATATTAAGCGAGGAGTTGCTGTACTGTTTTTTCTTTTCAAAGGGCCTAGTTACCTAGCAGGATGCAGCTCTCTGTGAAAACCAAATCTGCACTGATAATCTGACTGTGGGTCTAATTGCACTGTTCCTCATAATTCCCTACATCTCCCTGACTCTTCCTTCTCCATCACCACCAAATTCAAACTTTTGTCTTCAGTGTCAAAGCCCGACACAACTCCACTATGCTATATATTAGACTTGTGGCCCTATGCCCACTTTATCAACAATACCAGCTTAGATACTCAGTTTGTCCCTTTCTCTTAGAAGTATCCCTGATCCTATTCACATGCATGGAATATCTTCTCTTCTCTTGCCCACCAAGCCATCACATGCTCCTCATTTAAGTCCTTCCAGAAAGCTCACCTCTTCCAGGATGCTCACAAGAAGTGACTCATTGCTAGCCACTCTCATAGCTTTAGTATTTTTTGTTTATAAAAGGTGTGAGAGGGGAAAATAACCAACCAAAAATCCTAACCCAAGCCCCAAAATGTACTGGCACCTATGCTCAGTGACCATGTGAGCTCCCTTGTTCAAGAAACAAAATCTCAGATGAACTTGGCATGAAAGGATTCAACTTTAAAGGGGAAAAAAGTCTTTACCTTACACTTCAGAAGACCGAGCAAAAATACGCTTCTCCCATTTGTATTTAAAATGATCATTTAATCTAGAAAAACATAATTAAGCTCTAATTGCCCCCTTCCCTGGGAATATTCTCATGGAGATTTCTCCCCTAGCATTCTGGTAAGAGTGGAGGAATGAGGTCTCCTGCAGGTTAGATCCATAAATCCTGCTGACACCTTGAGATCTGCACAGAGGAGCTGTGCCTTAACCGCATCTCTGGCTCTATGGCAGTGGTGTTCCAATAGAGCAGGAACACCTCTAGCCTAGGCTTCCCAAAGAACCCTCTCTCAAAGGGGAATTCCATTGTGGAGCGGGAATGGGGGTGGACATTGAGAAATAATATAGGTAGAATAATATTCTTTGCCAAATCCTGTTTTTATCTCATCCAGTCCTCTCCCAGTATGTCCATTGTTTGTCCTCCAACTTCATGTAGCTATCGATGGTATCTAGGGGAGAAGAAGACTCTTCCATATAGGCAGTTGAGATGCCTTTCTGAGCCAGAGAGGGGATCCATGTGTGGATGGTCTCTGTGGTGTGACATCCCAAGAGTACAATCAGGCTCTTTTTAGTTTACCACAATAATGATACTATTGTGACATGGCTGGATTTTTTTTTTGGAGGGGTGGAGCTTCCATGACAGTATGTCAAGTGAGTAATGGACTGTAGATTCTCCTACTGAACAGAACAATGAATGGACTAGCGGTTTCATGCTGTTTCAACTCAGCACTTGATCTATGGATGCTTTAGTTTGCTTGTAATTTTTAAATAAATAGACATATTTCATTTCTTATCAGGGCCGGCTCCAGCTTTTTTGCTGCCCTAAGTGGCAAAGCGGGGGAAAAAAAAAAGATAAAGCCGATCAACAGCACTTCAGCGGCAGCTCAATCGCGCTGCTTCATTCTTCTGCGGCAATTTGGTGGCGGGTCCTTCGTTCGCTCCTTCTCTTCCTCTTCAGCGGCACTTCGGTGGCAGCTCAAAGAGGAAGAGAGGGACTGAGGGACTCGCCGCCGAATCGCTGCCAAAGACCCAGACGTGCCGCCCCTTTCCATTGGCCGCCCCAAGCACCTGCTTCTTTCACTGGTGCCTGGAGCCAGCCCTGGTTCTTAAGCATATTTCACTCCTCTAGGACCCACTTGTGAACCTCCTCCTTTTTTGGCATGTGCTATTGAGGAAAACAAAGGTGCAGATGAAAATGAGTTAAAAGAACATGGAATGAAATTAGCCAATGGAAAATTTAAGGTGAATATCAGAAAAATATTGGGCATGATGAAGCACCTGAACATAAGGCAATATGAGGCAGAATAGATGATCAGATGCACCTTTGACATTTATCACTTTTATGATTCAATGCACTTAAATATGTGTTTTGCAGTTATTTAAGCACAGTTTGAAAGACTTATGCAGAAATGAACCAATTGTTGAATTGCACGTTGAAGGCCGTTTGAGCCACCCATTCATTCCTACAACATGCATATTTGCCAATACAGTACAGTAAGTCCTCACTTAACGTTGTAGTTATGTTCCTGAAAAATGCAACCATAAGTGAAATGATGTTAAACGAATCCAATTTTCCCATAAGATTTAATGTAAATGCGGGGGGTTAGGTTCCAAGGAAATTTTTTTTGGGCAGACAACAGGCATTATATACTGTACAGTACTGTACTGTACTGTGGTTGGCAGATGCCCCTGGCTTACCCCACACAGGTACAGCCCGCTGCAGGCAAGGATGCTAGGAAGCACCTTGCGCAGCAGCAGTGGCAGCTTCTCCCCAGAAGAACAGGCACCGACTTTGCTGGGGGATGCTCCAGACTCGCCTCTTCCCGTCCCACCTCTTCCGACCCCCACTCCACCTCCTCTACAGAGCATGCTGCGTCCCCCCTCCCTCCCAGTGCTTCCCTGGTGCTTAGGATTTTCTGGTAGGGAGGGGGAGGAGCAGAGATGCAGCGCTTCCCTGCTCCTCCCCCTCCCTGCCAGAAAGTCCTAAGTGCTGCCAAACAGCTGTTTGGCAGTGGGGGAAGTGCTGGGAGGGAGGGGGAGGAGGTGAAGAAGAGGAACTTGTACAATGCTCCCTTGTAAAGTCGCTGCTCTTCCACAAAATCCTACAAGCAGTGGACAGAGCAGGCAGCCAAACAACGTTATCATAGAATCATAGAATATCAGGGTTGAAAGGGACCTCAGGAGGTCATCTAAACCCCCTGCTCAAAGCAGGACCAATCCCCAACTAAATCATCCCAGCCAGGGCTTTGCCAAGCCTGAC